CTTTCTTGAACTGGGGAGCCCAGAACTGGACAGAGTACTCCAAATGGGGCCTCACTAGGGCAGAGTAGAGGGGAAGGGGAACCTCCCTCGACCTGCTGGCCACACTCCTCCTAATGCATCCCTCGCCCACCCCAGCCTCCCCCCGGACGCGTACTCACTGCTGGCCAAGACTGTACTGCTGATGGAAGGGACTCTGAAAACCAGGGTGGTGTGGTCGCCCTGTGTAGGAGCAGGGGTGTTCCAACAGTTTACCTCCATGACACAATCCAGTCTTTGTCTGCAGAACCTCTGGATTACTAAGAGTGCAAAAGATTTGAAGAAAAGCCATTAAGAAAATACTGTGCAGCAGAGTGGCAAGGCTGTATGGGAGGCTGGTATAGAACACGAGCTGTTTTTTAGCTCATGGCTTCGAACTGATTGCAGATTGACATTATGGTTTCAGATAATTGCATTAGGCAAGTACTGGGAGTGCAGAGCAGTACTTGGCAAGGGAAGCAGCTTGGTATTCCTCATCTGAGGGAAGCATTCGGGACTGATACATGTTTCAAGAATAAGGTAACTTACAATCTGATGTCTTCATTTTACATTTTCAACTATGGACTTGGTAGTGGAAAGATAAGCCTGTATTGTTCTTGTTTTAATTTTCCTGGCGTTTCCACTGATTGCTGCAGGCACAGATGTTCAGTTAGTAGTTTTTTTAACAGATTTTCCCATTTTCTCAATTTTTTTGAACTTCAGCCAGGAAGTAAAAAAATCTAACCTATAATACCTGAATTTTAGTGTTAAGTGATTTGACAAAGTAACTTCTGTTTTGAGGTCAGCAGAAAAATGAATTTGTTTTTCTTCAATAACAAGTGGCTAGCTCTGGTCCTCAGTGGGGTGTGTGTGGAAGAAACTGCCACAGGCAAGGAGGAGAGAATATGCAACGCAACTGCCACCCATCCGTCTCGTTAGAGGCTGGTTTGAGCTCTGATCCATTTTTCCTGGGTCAGATAAAGGCTGACACTGATCGGCCTTGTATAAGGGAAGCTCCGTAGGGCGTGAGATGGAACGATAATAATTGGAAAGTCTCAAAAGCGCTTTGAAGCGTTTTGAGAGAGTCACGCAGTGACCCTGTCAGTGTGTGGTGTATAAAGGGCGTGTAGAGATGAGTCTGCTTCCCTCTGACGTGTAACTGCTTGAGGGCTGGGCTCTGCTATGTAGCAGTACACAGAAAGTAATTAAGGGCAGGAAGAATTTCATCCTGTTAAAACACCAGATTTGAGTACAGATTGAGACATGAGATATTGGAATTGGATTGGATGGGGACACAGGAGTTTTCACCCACGTGCCTGGTTCTTCGTTTTGCTTCTCTAACAGTAAATGGCAGGCAGTTTGCAATAATCCAGAGTGTCTGATGCTTTGGTAATGTGACTCTAAAGCAACAGTTGCACCTTAAGGCATCGCAGTTGTATTTTGTGTCATGGTAGTGTTAAAGGGGTGCTGTCTGTGTGGGCACCAACACGGTGTGATCTTCCGGGGCTTTCAGGTTCTAAATAGATTGTAGAACAGAAGGGTTTGAGCATTTGATGTACAAGTGTTCAGGTTCCTGAGTTGCTGCTAAAACGGTTTCAGCTGGCTTCCCCCCTCCTCATCCATGGTTACTGCAGGGAACTGGCATGTCTCTGGAATCGCTTCAAATTGAAAAGAAAACTGAAATTAATAGTCCTCATTTTTTATCATTACATCAATGGAAATACTAATCTGCTCCGACACACAGCAGAAAGCTGAAACTGTACCTCTGCTTTCTTGCAGATATTTGCTGTTCTATCACAAACAGTTCCTGGAGTATGAATAGCCTTATCCAGCAGCTTGGCAGATACAAACAAGGAAGAAAATAAGCAAGCCTTCTGAATCGACACACAAACCTACCTGAAATGAAAAGACCCTTTAAAAAACAACTAGCACTGAGCTGTAACAGGACCTACTTGACACTGACTCAAAGCCCGGCGGAGTAAGAAATGAACAATGTCCAGCGTGTATGCAGTCCCGCAAGGACAGAAAGGGGGCAAAAAAGAGGCTGCAGTCAGTCACTTAACAGAGGAAATATAAAATGAAAAGAATGCTCTGGGTGGGGGAAATGGGAGCAGAGGAGTCCAGGCACTGGTGCATCTCCTATGTTCCTCCAAAATGTGTGTGGGAAGGCAAAGGGTTGTACCCTCATCTCCATAAAGCATCTTCTCCATTTGGTGCTTCAGCTCCAACGACCAATCATATAACAGTTAAGATTAAAAATCCAAGCCCATTTTTTATGCCTATGGGTCTGAAAGCAGTAGAGTGGAGGAGGAGGGGATGACACAACTAAAGGACTTTGCAAGTATCTTTTTATTTGTGAATTTTAGTTATTAAATAAATACAGTATGAAACTATTAGGCTCTCTTTTTTCAACAACCGTATAAGAAATCCTGGATTGTGGAACTGAAGCTACAGTACTAAGACAGGTTTTCAAGCATGCCTGCTTGCACAGGTAATGTTTAATGCCATCGGACTGCTCATCAAAAGCATCAGCACAGATTCTTTTCTGTTTGAGCCCTTTTTTTGTTTTGTTTTCTATAAATAGCTATTTTCTTAATTTTTTTTCCTTTTATTCCCTTTTTTCACGAGAATGAAATTCATAAATGCAACCATCAGTAAAAATGAATGAATTGGCGTGTTTATACTGTAAGAGTGGTCTTGGTTCTTTTTTTAAGGTCTTATGAATAAGTTTGAATTTCTCGAAATTGCTTGTTTCGTTGTTGCTGGTTTTGGTTTGTTTTTCCCCCTGCTGCCTTCCGAAGGCAGACGTACGATACGTGGAAGAACCTCGGTACCGAAAAATGTCCCATCTGTTGGAAGCCGTTGCTGCTGGGGGCAGCATTGGGCGACAGATCCGCGGCTGTTGAGCGCTTCTGCAGCGCGCTGGGTTTTTAAGTAAACACCACATTTTCCTGGTATGTGCTAGGCTGGTGTTGGCTCCTTGTATCCTCCCACAGGGATTAACTCCTCACGTGCTCCTCTCCTCCTCGCAGAACCACAGCCTCCGTGTCGGTGTCCTTCGCCTGCAGCGCTGGGTGCACCCGCTTGCTCCTGCTTTGTCAGAGAAGCAGTTTTGCTCCTGTTCTCCCCCTCCACTGCTGCCTGTTGAAAGCAGCTCGCTGGCTGGTCGAGACCCCGGCAGTAACCGCCCGTGTGCTGGAGCCTGCTTGCGGCAGGCTGGGCTCTGGGCTGGATTGCAGCCCGAGAGAGAAACCGCTCAGAAGACAGAGCTTAAACGAGCGCAGGCAGCTTTCTTCTCCCTTCCTTATGGAGCCTGTAGGGAGCTGTGTGTAAGAGTTGGGCACTGTACAAATCGGTGCAAGAGCCACACAAAAAGGTCATTGAGCTCTGCATATGTATCCAGACAGCCATTCTTTGACTTTATAAGTGTAGTTAAAATGATGGAATGGTCCAGCCTTATAGATTCTGCGCTCTAGAAGCGAGTTACAGGTGTCTGACCTGCCCGAGACAGAGGTGGAAAGCAGTCTGGTAAACCGAAGAAATAGGAGGAAAATAAGGGAAGAGGGTTGGTTTGTTTCTCAAATGAGCATCTTACAAGAGCAGCTGAACAAAAGGACGGTGGAATTGCATTTGATTTGTACACAAACGGGAAGAGTACAAGGTGGTTTTGTACATCAGGAGATTTCTGCCACAGCTTGCAGCAGGGAAGGAAGAAGGGACGACGAATGCAGGCGACTTGAATACCGAATCAGACGCAGAAATGTGCCGTACAGTGTGCGAGTTACCTAGGCAGCCTGCTGTCTGCAGAAGTGAGCGCGCACTCCGGTTTTGTAACCTGTCCTTCCCTATCGTCGTGCTTGAAATAATTTTCAGTTGTAATTGGGTGCTGCAAGATTTAACCTGGGCGTTCGTGTCGCACATGAAAAACGGCTGGCGAAATGCGGCTGAGCGGTGAAGGGGGCTCCTCCCTCCCCGGCGCGGGCACGGGGCCGTGCGGATGCTTGATGATGCTTTCTGCTGCCTTTTAATAATGCAGCAAGCTTGCGGAGGAAGGCGAGGAGCAGCCTTTCGTCCCCGCTGCGTCGTGCTGCCGGAGGAGGACTGCCACCGCGCGGCTGGCGGCTCCGGGCTGCCTTCGCTTTGTGGGCCCCGCGGGTTTTTTTTTTCCCCACCCCGTAAGGCTGGTGAAGAGAGGGCTGTGCTCTGTGCAACTGCACCAGCGCAGATGGGTTTCAGTGGGAGATGGAGAGCGAGGTAGATTGCAGAGCTCTGTTTCTGCTTTCAAAAGCAGAATTACTGCTGTATTAAAAGCTCTTATTCTTTTCTCCCCCCTCCCCACCCCCTGTGTCTCCCTGAATCGTACCAGGCACATTTCTATTTCCAGCAACAGTAAATCAGCGCAGATTGCTAGAGGAGGGGAGAACGTTTTCCCTCTTCCTATAAAAATGGAAGAACAGCTGCTGTCATGGGAGCAGCACCACGCTCACGCTGCTGCTTCTCCATCTCAGCCTTCTCTTACCCTGCACCTCCCCAGAAGCAGCCACGCCTCTCCGACGCGGGGTTCGTTCCCTGCAGAACCAGGAGGTTTCTCAGCGCAGAGCTCTCTGAACGTCCCCCTTCGGAAAACGCCGACCGCAAACGCCTTGCTGTGCAGCGAGACGCCAACGGAGCACGCTGGGAGGCGGCGGGGAAAGGCGGCCCCCCCTGTGGAACGTGGACGGGCTTCTGCGGCCGGCCCTCTGCGTCGGGGCGCAGTTTGGGGCTGACCTGTTCGCTTTGAGGTACAGTTCAGTACTGGCACAGCTTCATGTGGTGTGAGGAAGCGTCTGCAGAAGCGACTGGAAACAGAGTGGTGGGGTGGTGCTGGCTCACAGCGGAGCGTATGTTCTGTTACCTGCCAGCAATGAACACGGCTCTGCATGGGGCATAAAAATAGCCAGAAAGTGGCCTTCAATATGGTATTTCCTTGTCCCTCAGCCACTTGACTAGCGATGAAGCTTCACTTGGTGCTGGTGCCTAAGGAAAACCTGAGCAAAAGCAGAAAGGTGAGAACTGGTGAAACCCCCAGGTGGGTGCTCTTGCTCCAAATCAGTGCCCTTAATTCCGTGTGGTTTAACTCATCCCTGCTGTACCTTGGTGTCCCTCTGGCACTCAGTGCTGTCTCCATGTGTGCTGCTTCAGGGCTGGTGGCCAGTG